CAATCTACACTCCACAAATGAGAGCACACAGACTCAGTAATGAAGCCACTTGGCCAAGATTATATTGCTAATATATATTGGAGCCTGGCCAAGAATCCCAATTGCCTGACTTCTACTCTGGGATACTTTTTACTGTGGTCCTCTGCTATACCGGTGGTGTAAGAAAAGTGACTACAGAGCCCTCATTTCATTCTTTGCCTAGAGAAATGGACCACTGCCTTAACTACTTGACTGAGTTGCATTCAAGTTGACACTAGCTTAGAACTGGACCATGGCATGAGCGTCTCAAGTTCAGAAGATTTGTGAGAGCAATATATATCCTTTCTCTAAACTAAAACTCTTTTCCTTCTCCTTCTTTACACCTCAGTCTTCCTCCAATCATCTGTTTCTCTCCAAAGAGGACTTTGAACTAAGATGGGAAAGTTGGTGACTCTAGACACTTGGTCTTAGTTTCTGGTTACACCTTTCAAATGTCACTGTCAAGGGCTCCTGACTATTTAAAATACAGTTTAGAGTAGAAAAGATAGTCTCAAGCTTTCCATAGCTTCTCCTTCAATCATCCTATCATAGCTTCCAATATGACCTCTATTTTCTGAAGATCTCTGATTTTAGGAGATAAGAAGTACTGCTTGGTCACTTTACAAATCCTCTATCAGAGAGCAGCTCTCCAGGCTTTGATGTGGAACACGTTTACCCAGCATGAACCACATTGGAGAGAAAGAGCACAGGAGACCTTTAAGCAACCCCTATCTGCAGGACCATAAAGCAGGAATTTAGCTGGGCATTTGGACACCGTCAAACCACTCCAGCCACCCTCCTGTAGCTGAGTTCTGCCATTATAGTAGGGAGCATCCTGTCAAAGCCCACTGGGCTACACAAGGTCAAATTTCCCATTGATCCATTTGTCTAACGGGCAAGCTTAGTTCTATGTTTACAAATGCAGAAGAAGCATCAATTTCTAGGGTCAAAGTGGGTTTCTACTTTTCTAAAATACCTTGCCTTTGGATAATTACATACTTAATGTAAAAAGTTCTTGGAATATAGCTCAACCACTGCACTGCACAGATGAAGAAACCAAGGACTGAAGAATGGAGAGAAGCAGAGCCAGGGCTGTAGCTCTGTGCCTTGTGGTACTTTTTTACTTGTTACATGGCCTCATTTGTAACCTAGCACCTTGCTAAGAGATAACTCAGAACACCTTTTCTGCCATCCTCTGCCTAGATCTGTTTGGGAAGTGACTGTATCAGGGGTTTGGAGAAACCTGCCCTTGAGATCTCCATTATGGTAATCAACTACATAGTATTTTAGAACTCAATATATTTTGTTACAAATTCTCACTTAACCTCTGTGATTCAGTTTCTTCATCTATAAAATGGGTACAAAAATAATACTAGCTTTATAATGTGTTAGAAGGACAAAATGAGGGGAAAAGTTCCCCTCACAGGGTTTGCCATACAGAAAACTTCCAGTAAATGTCAGCCATCAATGAAAAGGAATCATATTGAGCAAACATCTCCACAGAACAGTGAATATTCACTACGAAGGAAAGGTAACATGGGCTCTTATCACTCAGCAATGGAGCCTTTATCGAAAGTCAGCCTGGCCATGTTATTGGCAGATGGCTGGATCAGGCTGAGGGGAGAAAAATAAAGGCCACTGTTAGGGAAGGATCAAAGAAGCAAGCAGCCAGCAGGGAGCAAGGAGAGGCAGACAAAATGAACCAGATGGGAAAAAGCAAAAGAAACAGGTTGAAGCATTGCATTTACCTCTCCTGGGCAGCTGAAAAAATCCTTCATCCTCCCAAGTATCCTGAGACAGTGCCTCTAGGCCAGCTCTTTGAGGAACAGGGGTACATGAAATCTTTGGCTGCTTCCTATCCCTGTTCTTTTCAAACAGGCACAAGCCTGGCCCATATCCTCAGGTCCCTTATCCCCACCTCCACCCCCGTGGGACAGTGGGGGTCCCACTCATTTTCTCCGGACTTGAGCATTAATCACACCCTCTCCCACTGGGCTGCTGGCCACCTCCAGCTGTTGTTGATGGCTGTGGCCCTAAGGCCTATCTTCTGCTGTGAGCCACACAGGCTTGTGCCCTGCCTCAGTGGCACTTTCTCCCAGAAGGACAGCTGGAGCACTCCAGTCAGAATGGATGGCTTTATGTTCAAAAGCCCCAGGGGCATTTGTGGGCAGTGACCAGGTCTCAGCACCAACCTGCTGAGTAACTTTGGGCAGGTAAATTAGCCTCAGATGCCTGTACATAAAGTGAAGGTAATAAAACTCTCCCTTGCTGTTGCCCTGGGGAGGGAGCAAGGATCAGTGGATGGTTAAAAAAAAAATTTCCTCAGGATAACAGGTGTGAGTTAAATGCAAGCCATTGCGATTCATCTAGGACTCTTGAAAGAAGGGAAGGGAAAAAGAAAACTTTGTAAAAGACTCAGGTAATTCTGCAGGTAAGTGGACTTCATTTCCACTCTCTCCTCTGGACAAGTAAGGCTTTGGTGTTTTGTTTCTAAGAAAGTCTTCCAAGCCTGGGGGGTACCATGGTGTACACCTGTAATCCCAGCTAGTTGGGAGGCTGAGGCAGGTGGACTGTAAATTTGAGGCCAGCCTGAGCAACTTGGAAAGACCTTGTCTCAAAGTAAAAAGGGTTGGGTATATGCTCAGCACTAGAGCCTTTGCCTGGCATATGCACGGCCCTGGGTTCAATCCTCAGTATTTAGGAGGGGGAAAAAAAAGCCTTCCAAAGACAGAGGGTTCCTGAGGGAAAGGGGAATGGAACCAAATTGATTGTGCTTGCAAAATGATCTCCCTGCCTGGCTGAAAGCTTGTTGTTTTTTTTTTGGTACCGGGGATTGAACTCGGGTCCTTGGCTTTCGAGGCAGGTGGCGGAACCACTGAGCTAAATTCCTGGCCCTAAATTGTTCTCAGATATGCTTTTTTTTTTTTTTTGGTACCGGGGTCAAACTCGGGTCCTTGCACTTGTGCAGCAGGAGGCAAAACCACTGAGCTAAATCCCCGGCCTGAAAGCTTATTTTAGGGTGGCTTTGGAGAGTCTGGGGTGTGTTAGTGCCATTGTTGGAAAACCAAGCAGCTCAGTGAGATGGAGAAGCCAATGGATGGTATGATTCACCGTGAAAACACCAAAGCTTCCTTAGCGTTCTGTCCTGCTTCCCGGAGAGCTACACCAAGGTTCTCCAAGCAGGATTCTCTGGGAACCTGTAAGAAAGTCACATTCCTGGACCCTATTGAGATCTGACAAATCAGAAGCGTTGGGGTGGGGCCACGCAAATAGGCACACAGCAAGCCATCCAGGTGCTCTTCCTGGAAAGACCATCACCTCATGCAAAGAGAACCCGAGCTCCTCGAACTGTAATGTAATATTCCAGGCACTTTGAGTCTTGTTAATTTTGGATTTGATTTGATTCAGCAAGGCCAGGTGGGGCTGGAGCCCTGGCCCTCTTGTTGAGTACCCAGGTGTTACTCTGCTCTGGTCTTGAGACCACATTGAGTAGCAAGGCTGCACCTCATAGTGACCCACAGTACCTACAAGCCCCCATGGGATGCACCTGGAAGAACTTTAGAGTTTAGAGCTTCATCTCAGCACTGGTATTCTTATTTTTGTCATGCTGGTGATGGAACCCAGGTCATGTGTATGCTAAGCAAGCACAGCATTGATATTTCTTTGTTTCTTTTTTTGAGACAGAGTCTCACTTTGTAGTTCAGGCAGGCCTTGAACGCTCTATGTAGCCCAGGCTGGCCTCAAACTCAGTGATCCTCCTGCCTCTGCCTCCCGAGTGCTGGGATTACAGGCATGCACCACACGCTGGCAGCATTGATATTTCTATAGAAAGACACTCCCTGGTAGTTCTAACCAGGGTGAAGACTTACACTTTTAACTTTATTGCATTCCATTTACAAAGCTTTGATTCCTATGTTTTACATCCACTTAGGTGCTGTTCTCTGATCTCTGTAAAAGTGTATCAGTGACATTGTTGCTGGCCTAGAGATGTAAGGGTGGAAGGGCTATGAGGCTGTGCTTTTGAGAATAAAAGGGAATTTGTAAGTTCTAGGAGGTGTCAGGAAACCTTATCAAAGACTGAATGAGCCAAAGAGACTGCTGGTGTCTGGTATAACAAGCTGGATTATCTTTCAATGAAACCATAACTCTGTGCATTGTAAACCATGGATAATACCTACTAATGCAAACTACTTTGTTCATAGAAATGAATTGTATGAAGATGTATTCAATTTTTGTCCTACATGTAATGGCCTACGTACTCAATCATTTGCCTCTTTTATTCTTTGAAAGAGTTGTATTATTTTATTAGTTTCTTAACTAATGAGTTAAATCTCTGACATGTTTATTTCATTATACATTTGTATGGGGGTCATGGCTTTACCATTAAATACAACAAAATAAACTCTTCCAAAGGGCATAAATTTCATGTCAGCAAGCATCATAATAACCCCCAAAAATATCCACATCATAATTCCCAGAACCTCTGAACCTCTTTCACCTCTCTTGGTAAAAGAAATTTTTGTCCAAGAAAGTTTTACCAAAAGCTTAACCCCTCATTTCTTGAACACTCTCTGAATCATTCCACAGCCTTATCTCCCCTTTCTATAACTTATTATTATTATCATTTAAAATGCAGAAACCAAAAGAACATAGTCCAAGTGACTCACTGAAGGTCAGGGAGTGGCCTATCTTCTCCCATCCTTCCAAGGGGCTAAGCAGCTTTGGACTCCTTATTAATGAGATACTCGCTATGTACTTTGCTCTGCAAAATGCTCCTCAGTCCTGGAACTTGAGTTCTTGTTCTGTGCTCCAAATCCAGGTATTTTTTACTTTTACAAACACTTTTTGAACTTTAAAAATTTCTCCACTGCTTCCTCACCAAAGCAGCCATGGAAGCACTTTCTTGCTTGTTTTAGTCTGTTTTGACTGTTATAACAAATTACCTTTGAATAATTTGTAAATGGCATAAATTTATTACTCACAGTTTGGCACCTAGAAGGTCCAAGACCAAGGTATCAGCAGACTCAGCATGTACTGAACACCAGTGCTCTTAGATGGTGGCTTCTAGGAATTTTTACAGGGAAGAAGAGGAAACCAACCCCTCTCACTGAACTTTTATAAGGACTAATCCTTCCTACAACACAGTCCACCATTGCCTAATCACCTTTCAGAGGCCCCACCTGTTAACATCACCACAATGAGAATTTGGTTTTCCTGAGAATTTGGGAGAAACATTCAAAACATAGCCCTGCTGTATCACTGCAACAAGACACTGCAGAGAAATATGATTTCTAACACTTGGGTCTTTATAATTTAAGACATGGACAAGATAGGTCACTGAGCCTGATATAAACATTAAATCATGAATAGACCAGGAAGAATTTACCCATTTAGGTCATGAGCAAGCAGACAGAGTGTAGGATCCAGGCTAAGTAAATAGCTGGGATGGAGAGGGAGGGAGGAAGACCTACAGGTTCCAACCCTAGGCAGGATGAAGTAAGGGTGACACTCCCATGGCCAGTGCCAGGGCAGTCTTGAGCATTTCAGTGACATCCATGGGCTTCTTCCCAGAGGGGTGTAAGAGAAGCTATGCTCCAGATACTTGGAGTTCAGGGGTCTCAGGCAGGCAGTCTTTAGTGGGGTGTTGGCCTGAGTAGCTTCAGAACAGAGTGAGTCAGCAGATGCTATTTGCTCCTAATAGGAGCCCTGCAGACAGCCCTCTGTAGAAGAAACAAAATCAAGTTTCAGCTGCATCAGCAATTATGGTTGATTTACAGCCAATTGCACCTAGAGTGAGCTGGAAGAGGTACCAATTAGCTGTTTTGATTTAGCAAAAATGAAGAAAGCAACCTGAGTGAGCTCAGCCTCTCTCCTATCTGAACTTGTCATTTTCCTCATCTAGACCAGGGCAAGGACTGGGCTGTAGGAAACCTCACCATCTAGAGAGTGTAAATTCACATAGTTCGACCCCAAGAAAGACAGAGGACGCCACCAGGACTTGATATACCAGGATAAATGCCCCAACTATCTCTCTATACTCAAAATTACAGGGCTAGAAAGGAGGCTATTTATACATACGCAGAAACTTAAAACAGAAGCGTTAATGACAAAATGTTAGTGCAATAAATTTAAAAAATAACGACATTAATCAGGAAGCTTCATTCTATCTCTCCATCTCTCTCATACACTCAAATACACACACACACACACAAACACACACACTCACACTCCATCTTTCCCTCCCACTCAGTTCACAGGAACAGCATCTCATTGTGTGTCCTTTTGCAGGCATGGTAAACTAGCAATGAAGCATCAGGATTGGCATGGCAAGAAGGCACCCAAATGTTTCCTTGTCAGAATCTGTTTGCTCTACCTTCTTTCTTTTAAATTATTTTTTTCTTACCAAAGTAATACATTACCATAATTTAAAAAGTAAAATCCTAATGGATAAGATTTGCTTAATGTTGTTGGTTGCCAACCTCCAAACTGTTTTATGAGAATTAAACTCTCGGCACACTCCATGACTATTCGTGTCATCTTCGCTGTATGGATGTCACACAAAGCACCAGGAGCTTTCCCAAGGTCCAGGGCCGGTCAGTAGTGGCATTCGAATGTGAACTCTGACAGTTTTTCTCCAGGATCAACACACTGAACATTACGATATTCTACTTTACAAAAGTTTATAATAAAATTTCAGAGTTTCAAGCCCTGAATAAAAGCAGATTCCAAACACACACATACACACCCTTCAACTTCTCATTCCCCAAGGGCCTTTACTTTTTTTTTTATTAAATTATTTTATTGGTACATTGTAGGTATACAACACAATTTCATTTCTCATTGGGAATTGTACCTTTACATAATGCATCTTGGTT